TTCCTGCCGCTAGTAACAATTTCCCTATTGCGTTAACATTACATGGCCATTTTATCTTAACCCTTCAGAAATCTTGGACAACTTACCAAAAGTATCTACAGGTCCGAAGTGAAATTTGAATCATCGGAGAAAATATGATTGGTATTTCCAGCTTATTTCATGTGACAATTACACACAATAAGCTTAATCTCTGCATATATACAAAATGTCTTGCACAATGAAAAATACAAATAAAATTGTAAATCATCATGTCTACTGTCTAGTTATCTGATAATTAGTGGTGTAACGATACGGCGATACAGTATTGTATCCCGATGCACAGCCCACGATACGATGCATCGATTTGGGAAGCATGTATCGCGATACATACAATATTTTCATAACACAGTTTTACTTACCGTATTTTCTTGAGTATAGTGCGCAATTTTTTCCAAAAAACACAGCTGTGTAGAAGGGGGTGCATTATACACGAATTAATGAGTTTTGATGTTTTTTCCCCCATGGAAAGACATTACCGTGAGCACGTAACACCGAAATACCATGTCAACAAATCCATACTGAAGTTTGCAAATTATTCATGTAATTACACTGTCTGGCTATAAAAAGTGTTCTTTCTATATCTGGACTTTTGTTTGTAACTTATTTCATTAATTTTATTCAAAATTCCTTTTAATATTGTTTTAATTAATTTCGGCGAAATCGTGTGTGAAGCGGTCGCATGGTTGCATGTAAAAAATAATACCCGGCAATAGCGATCAGCTGCTTCGCTTAGGGTTATTATTATTTTAAATATGTTTAGTAAAAGCTGCATCTAAATTAACAAGATATTGGAATATATTATTCCTGATAAAAAAAATAGTTTCAGATACAACTTTTGCCCATCCTTGCATTAAAATCCTGTAAAGTTATATCATTGGGTGTGTCTTGACCGAATCACCGGTAGATTCCAAGAAAACTTGTGTACAGCTGATTGCTGTGTCCTGCTTAGTTTACGAGAAAATACACAAGGTAATCTTCATCCCTGGATATAAAACAATGCCTAGCTGAACAAAAAATACAATTTAAACGATAAATCAACATGTCTGGTGATTTTTTATCTCAGAATTCGAATTTTGTACTGACGAAATTTCTCATCACCCGTTCGTTTGCCGGACTTCGCTGAAGGAGTACAGTGTAATTTTTTTCTGCGCATAATATTCACATTTTTTTTTTCTCCAAAATATTGAACCCGCTAGAGGGGGGTGCGCATTATATATTGGTGCGCACTATACTCAAGAAAATACATGAAATACGTTTAACAGTTTCAAAGCAAGTTTGTTGTTTCAGTAAAACATACTGTATTGCTGACAATTTGCTATAACAGTAAATAAACACATTAAATCTTCTTCAACTGTACTTGTCACATCTTTTAGAGAGCAGAAAGACATCAACTTGGCTTAGCTTGTACCAGTAAACACTGTATCGTGATACGTTTCGTATCGCGACCCCTGTATCGTGATACGTATCGTATCGCGACCCTCCCGTATCGTTACACCTCTACTGATAATGTGTTCCAATTTGTATTGTCCCAAGTTTGTTATCTCCTGTTCGTACCTGAAGTGATACGGTGTGATGCCTTTAGAATAAAGTACCACAACTTCCCGTGAGGACATTCTCTGCTGCAGAAAGACAAGCAACAAGTTTTACAGCGTTAGAAATTGGCACTAGACCTATAGTCCAACCTGCCCAATAGTTAAGGTATCATAAGGACTTGTAGAATTTTCCATTTTTAAGGGTTTTGCTATATGTTATCATTATAAGGACAAGTGGACTAAAACTGTTAGTTTGAAAAGTTTCTGTAGCTGTTTTAGTGAGAATCCACCGGATGCGAACTCATGACCTTCGGATTATTAGCCTGACAGCAAACCGACCTAGCTACATCCAGTGGTAGTGCTACCTAAATTTACTTACCTAAATTTGTATTGACCAAGTTTAACTGCCATCACCTGTTCGTTAACTTGTATTTGCTGAACTCAGAAGGAATACGATGTAATTGTTTTCTACGAAAGACAAACAAGATTTTATTCTGAAGGTTACGGGTAGACATGGTGTCTCGTGACTTTAGTCAACGGACACTCATGAGGAACCTGCATGTCATTTGGCACCCTCGTCCCATTCTGTAATCTACAAGATACTGAGAGGTAAGGAATGAGCCTACACATCTTCCTTAGGCTAGTGAGTTAACTGACTATAAAAGTCCAGTTTCCACCCTTGCCGAACTAGGATGGTATTATGGAGTTACATTTTGGCTGGACTAACGAGTCTATGCATAGTCCAATCAAAATCGTGTAAACTGTCATGCAGATTTTGGTCGATCGCAGGATTTGCAAAGCATGTGCACCATTAACTCTTTGTTAACGGATATTTTCTTAATCTTTCCATGTTTTTAATCAAGGTGCTCACGTGATTTGATGCATTTCACAATGTAAGACTCGTTTTATCACAATATATAGATCTTGATTATCGATCAGATTGTCTTGACTGGGCGCCGCCGTTTTGTTTGAAGTGATACGTCAGGTGGAATCTGAATCATCCATAGGAGAGGCATAGAAGGGACATAACTTGTAATAGCCACTGGTGGCGCAACTATCAAGCCCAGGAATTCCAGCCTAGTTCGGCGAGGGTGGAAACTGGACTTTTAAAGTCAGTTAACTCTCTAGCCTCGGGAAGATGGAGCCGACAAGGCACGAACAGCTCCAGGCGTCAGGCGTTCAAGGTACCAGTACGCATAAATCACAGGGTTTAAATGATTCGTTGGGTGATTTTGTCGCAGAAATCTGTGGGAGGGAACACTGTAAGGATAACCTGGATCACAGTAAGGAACAAGGGCAAAAGTGAGCGTGGCTCACTAATATCATATACAATATCCCCGACTCGCCTAGTGTGTCAATAGTTTCAAATTAAATAATGGATAGGGTTAGGGTTTGAAAAATTCATTTTTTTCTTTTGACTGCAGCCCTCCATATGACACAGACTATATGTACTAAGTTTGAGATGAATCCACTGAATAGTTTAAGAGAAATCACACAGACAAAGTATTTGGACGGACGGACAGGCGGACAGAACCTTGGTATAACTACATACACCCGAACTAAAAGGCCGGGGGTATACTTAGGAAGACACAGGCATGGCTACTGATACCACGACGGTGAGTCGGCTTTTGAACTATTAGTGAGTGAGTAAAAGCCTGTTGAGTGGTTGACGTCCCTGTCAGAAAAATAAATGCACATGAAAATGGAAAAAAAATAAAATAAAGGAAAATAGAATACCCCGACAAGTGCATTTATTTGCACGCTTCATGACCTCGGCTCCCATGCTTGAAAATGCATTAGAAGGGGGTATAACCCCCTTAGATCCAGCGTCCGAAACAGCCGCCTGCCTGCTATCCCCTGGCCAGTAACATTTCAGTCAGGATAGATAATTTTTTCACCTATCAGCCCACCTGTCTAGTTACCTTTTTCAAATGTCTAAGGATATTTTCTTGCTTAATTCTCAGGTCTTAACTCTTTCAATGACGTAGGCCAGTAACAGGGTTTCCCCTGACTCAGGATTCTTGCATATATGACACTCAATTAAGGAAAATTCCGTCCAGAAATAAATGACTGCGTCATAACTGACGCAGTTAAAAAAAATATCTAAGTTCTTGCAGAGACCACATACCGCTCGGTATATGGTCTCTGGTGCTTGTTTACCAGCTTTGGAATGAAATATTACAACTACCCACCTGAACTTATTTATAAACATTTTCCGAAGACAATATATTGTCTTAAAAGTTAATCGTTGTTTTAAGAAGTAACATAACTTCTCATAACACCGCTACAGCGGGCTAATTTACAGAGCCTATCACATGACCAGAATTTTCTCTCGTTTTTAAACAAGTGCTAAAATCAGAACAGACGGGGGGGGAGGGGGGGGGCTTTACATATTGTTTTGCATATGCTACCAAAACCTCGCGACTGTGAGGTACACAACAAAATACATTTATTCATCAAAGTGATCGTCCCTCTTACTTCGTGTGGCTTCGATGACAGAACATGATGTAAACAAAGGAAAATGTTTTCAGGTTTTGACATCGTAAAAAACATTTTTGAATGAAATTTTAATTAAAATTAATAAAAACAGATGACAAACATAAAGGTCAGATATGAAGAGAACACATTTTTATCACCAGATAGTGTAACAACAGGATTAACTTGCGTAATTCTATTCAGATTTGTTATGCTATTTCCGATGATGAATCATGACCGCCTGAAATGATACTTAAGTCAAGAAAAGCCTGTGCATATTACAGGGTTAGAAATTGGCACTATTCGTTTAGTCCCAATAGTTAAGGTATCCTAAGGACTAGTAGATAATTGCCATTTTCAAGGATTTTGCTATATATTATCATTATAATAAGGACTAGTGGACCAGATATAATAAGCCCCATTCACATGGACACTTTTACTTACGTGAGTATATATACTTATATTAGTAAATTTACTTATGGTGGCATGTGAACGCATTTGCTTACGTGAGTAAATATACTCCAGGAGTAAAGAGACATGAGTAAAAGTATATTTGCTACACCTGATGAGGTCTAGTAAAAGTATATTTACTCAGGGATTATCCTGGATCTTTTTACCTGTGAGAGAAAATCTCCCCTGGTCCAAAAGCAATGAGATTTTTTGGAGTGTGATGAGATTTTGCTAATCATTAGATTAGAATAGAGATATTTGTTTAAAACAGTTGAAACTATTTGAATTTCGTTATTTGTGACTCGAATTATAATGCAATGAATGTTACATGTTTTAACTTATATCAATAATAAAAAACAGAACAAATGTAGTTTGGCAGACTTATAATTCATTTGATTTGTATTCAATTTCCACACAAGTCTTTATTCCTCTTTTTTTTAGACAAGATCAATGAAACGATAACTGCAACATTGTAACAATAACGTCTAACCACTGAGGGACTAATCAGCAACTGTCTGTGCACGTTTTCTGCCGGAAGATTGCTCGTTCTTTTTGCCCTCTCCACTCAATCAAAGCAGAATTGAAATTAAATTTTGTCAACTGTGGCCCCTGAATCATGACACGCATTAATCTGTCACAGTGTTCTGCTGATAGCCTATTTCTGAGGGGTGTTGTTACTAGATTTTGTGCAGAGAAAGCTCTCTCACAGTCAGATGTATGAACAGGGTGTGTTAAAACCAATGATGCCAGCTTCAACATATTGGGAAAGTCAGCAGAATGGTACTGCTGAACCAAGCCCCACAGAGCACTGGTGGAGTGTCTGGGATACCCTTGAACTCTCACAACTTGTTTGAGCTTCGTCCACTCCTTCTTACTCTCCTCTCTGTTGATAATCGCTGGGCTGACTGATGTCTTCTGTCCAGACACATCCTTGAAAGTGTGACTTTTGTCAACAGCAAAGTGATCAAGAAGAACATCAAGGGACTCATTGCCCCACTCAGAGAGCTCCTCCTCAGACAAGAAGGTAACAGGTCTCATGCCAAAGACACACATACTTGTCATGAGTTGCTTGTCTGGGAATCTGAAATAAAAAAATAATAAACTGACATCAAATATGTTGTGTTGCTTTTTTACAGGAAGGGAGTACTCATATCATTATCTGCTATTGTAAAGCTGAAGTGACAGCCACACATTCATTCACTGTGATGCATATTTTAAGACATTCAGCATGTTCATGTATGTATTTCTATTGTGAAATACTAATACATTTTATGCTTTAATTAAATATCTTGATAATGTTTCAGTACCTCTTGTTGATGTTGTCGATGAGACCTTTAATGAAGTCCACTCTGGTCTTCTCGAAACTGAAGGAGGATTTCTTGATTGCATGATTCCCTTTGAAAAACCCATCACATAGATGGGTCTTCAGCTGGTGCATGAATGTTGGTTTTGGCAGTCCTTCCCCATCAACCTCTGGCTCCAAGAGTGCTCTAACGTCTCTAATGCAGGAATCAATCACTGCCTGTGAACAGAAAATCACTTAAAAATGAAAGTTATCATAAATTTCTGCCTTTTTTCAATCAAGACACGTAGAGTGTCAAAACAACTTCAAACAACAGTCATTTCATGATTAAGAAACTAGCAAAATCTAAAACAATTATATCTGTTACGTCTATGGTGTACCTGTAACAACATTAAACATCAGGATCAATCAAGACCTGTTCAGAGGCCAATATTCGGCACCAAGTCTTGAGCAAATGTCATTAAAAATTCCCAAATAGGAATTACATTCTCAATTCACTTTTAATATCAATGTTATGGCTTTGCTGCTGTCTTTCCCTAATAACAGAACCAATAAGGTTTTAGTGCTTAGTTTTATAATGCATTCAGCCATTGAATACAATCTCAAAATACAAGGTTAAAATGAATGTTACATACCTGAACACTGCCAATATCGATATCCTTCCGCTGGAAGAATAAAGTCATCTTCATGATAGGTTGAAGTATGTCCATGAGGGCATAGGTAATGCTTATGAAGAAATCTTGTCCAATTTTCTTTTTAAGGCCCTGTGCTTTTGCGTCACTTGCTGTGCTAAAGTAAGAGAGGAGAGAATCTAATGTCCTGTATATGGCTTCCAGGGCTTGAAAGAAGCTAAGCCATCTGACTTGATGGACTTCTCTACATTTCAGTGTTGGTTCATTGAGAAGCTTTTGCACTGCTGACAGGTTGTCCACCCTTAACGCTGACTTCTTGAAGTAATAGAATATGGATTCAAGAATAATCTGGTAGTACTTCATTCCTGAAATATGAAATGAAAGCAACCTAAAACTCATTTCAAGTCATTAGTGTGGATTTATTATTATATCATATTATATTTATTTTTTTAGAATTGTTCCTGTGTAAAACAATATTATATTTAGTGTGGATTTATTATTATATCATATTATATTTATTTTTTTAGAATTGTTCCTGTGTAAAACAATATTATATTTAGTTCATTAATTAAATTATACCTTGTATATCAATGACAATACAGATTAATCATTATATTTCAATAACACCTTTTTTACAATATAACATGTGACATCAATTTACCTGGAACTTGATCGGCTGCCTGTTCTGAACAAAGTGCTACTTTATGAACAGAGCAGTGCGTGTTTATGATGTGCGGGTTTACTTTCAGAAATTGGCCAGTAAGCCCCTCCTTTCTTCCAGTCATCACAGATGCTCCATCCGTACCTAATCCTGCAGATAAAAAACATGACAATTGATTATCGTGGTAGTTAATTAATAATCGTAATGGTGCACACGGCACGCTTACAAACCTATTCATGTCATATGCAAAATGGTGCTTGTTATTTATCAAACTTAAGCATGACACATCTAGGATTGATCCACGCTGCTTTTCTTAAGGGACGTCTGGGAGTTTGATAAACAATGTTTGTACCTGTCATTAGCTACTCAACTCTATTATCTTGGTTATGGGTATCCTATCTTGTTGTTATGAATGCATAATCAGCATACATACGACATAGGTTGTGTCAAGGGACATCACCCAAACAAATGGGTTCTTTTCTAACCAATTTCGAAAATATAATCCAGAAATTATTTTTTAAAAAGTTGCTGTATATAGTTATGAGTTGCCGTGACATACTGCAGCCAGTCCTGTATTCGATCAAGCCATGAAATATTGTGAATTAGTAGACAGTCAAAAGGGAGTGTGGATTATGAGATTTAGTCTACCAGTATCACGATAATATACAGGCTGCGATACTATAAGGGTCAGACTACACAATTAATTGCAATATCAATAATTTCATTAATTATTGAAATAAAATATTACCTGATACTTTCATGATCGGAATCTTCCTTTCCGCAAGATGACCCTGGATGGCATCAAATATTCCTTTGCCAGTTGCTGAGGTTATCCTTAGATCTGTCAAAAACATTGTGGCTGGCATCATGGTGTGTGGATCTATCACTCGGGCAGTGATACACAACTTATTGTGGACGGCAGTGTCCATGCTTTCATCGGTCAATATTGTCAGGACCGGGGATTTGTGTAGTGTTTCGGTCACAGATCTGTCAATAGTCGTCGAGATTGCATCTAGAAATCCACAGGCAGACTTGTAACTGGCGTAGGTGACATGATTGTTGACGCTCAGAGATTCAACATTTGGTGTATTGAGATCACTTAATAAACTCAGTAAACTTTCGTACTTCGACAATGGAACTCCCTCTTTTGCCATCCAGTAGACAACTTTAAGACATGTGACGATTGCCCGTTCTTCCTTTGATTTCGCCCCAGACACGGCAGCTTTTAGATTTTTCTGTTCGAAAGGTGCAGCGACAGATCGTTGGTGGTCTGCAGAAGTGATGTGTCGAGTGATAGTCGTTGTCTTGAAGTTGTTGGTTCCAACTGCCATGGCATTATCAAGTCGCAGTTCACGACACACACTGCAGTACATCAGTTGATTTTCTGCATCATGTCTTAACCACGGTGCGTACTTTGTCAGCCACGATTGTTGAAACTTCAGGGTTTTACCCGTGTTGATGCAACCGGAACTAGCATTCTGCTTTTCGTGATGACATTCGCTGTCAACTCCATCATTGTCAACTCCGTGGCTTTTATCACCCCCATCTCCTGAATCATGTTCATTTCCAAAGAATTTTAGTATGGTTTGTTCCGAAGGCAGTTTCTGATGTTTTCTTTTAGGTGGCATCGTCAGAATTTAAATATCCCAAGAAACATGACAAAGTCCAATCTGCCAACAAAAGGCGCTGGCATAACCAGGTTTTTCCCCGTGCTTGGTTGCGCACTTCCGCGGCAAAGCTCCATACGGTGACATACGAATCGGTTATGCACAGTGAGAGATCGCACGCAGTGTTTCGAGTATGCAACTCGTTGTTTACAGATTGACAGCACCTGCTTTCGGCTAGTGTCCGTGTCGTGTACGTTTTTATTGATATTTTTTAGAAATAAGATACTGTATATTTTTATTTATGCAAAACGACTTTTTTCTAGGTTTTTGCAGATGAAACTGTTGAACAGAAAACGGATATATGTACGCGATTTTCAATCGCACTGAATATATGTTGACGCGATATCTGTGGTAACTGTGCGAGAATATCGCGGAATCGCGCCCTAAGTCAATCCCTGTTTACTCATAAGTATAAATGCTCCTGGAGTATTTCTGGTCATGTGAACAGATTCTCTATTGTTCTAAACTCCGCAGAGGAGGCAAGCCAGTAAATTGTTATGGCCACCTTGTGATCCAGCTCCAATGGTTCCCTCACATACATTTCCTGTGCAGGAAAATACGGCAGTAGTTCCTTGCAAAGAACATAAAATGTTTCGCGTGTCATGCCAAAGTTATCGATCCACAGTTTATCATCAAATGATCGTTTGACGACATTGTTCCACCAGTGTTGAGAACGTTCTCTCTTCCATAGTTCTCTTTCCTGGCATAATCCTAAGACTAGTCCCATACTAAGAAAGTATGGAAAGTCTCTCTTTCGCCTCTGGTTGACTATCTTCGACAGCGACATGGCCTCAAATGATAAAAGTCCACAATTTATTTATGAAATGATGTTTACTTCTGCCTTGCATAAACTTCATGTGAACGCAATGTAAATATATTTTTGCTTACATGAGTAAATATACTCCATGAGTAAATTTGCTTACATGAGTAAATTTTGTCCATGTGAATGGGGCTTTAGTTTCTACCGCTGTATTATACACGAGAGATATTTTTTCCAGAATTTAATTGCCCATAAAAAATACGGTCTATATGAAATATAAATCTTCGGACGTGTTTGTTGTTGCTAATAAACTGTATTCAACCAGAAAATATTACAAGTGTTTATACGCAACATCGATTCGCTATTTGGGATTTCCCCGGCCTAATTATTAATACTAAATTAAGCCATTGACCCCTCTGGCGAGTAATGTTTCACGCTATTGATTGGTTGAACCATTGCTTCCTAGAGGGGTCAATACATTCGTTGTGTTTGACATTTCCGTGTGTCACTATGGCATACAAAAAGAAACAACTTGGTTTGGGAAAATTTCTCAATTTAAAGAAAACGTGAATGAAAAAGTCTCCGAAGAAAACGGAAGAGATAAGCATTAAAAACAATTCAAGTACTGTAAGTGACACAGAAGGGTCTAGTCCAAAGAAGCCGAAAGTAAGTTGCGATTTCCTCACGGAAAGGCTGTCAAAATTCATGTGGCTAAGATATGAGAGTTGAACAGGTGGAATTACACGTGACATTTGTTTGAATGCAAAAGAAAACAATACTTTTGTGCAAGACACAAATTACTAACATTCAAATCTCACCTGACATGAACAATCAAAAGATCGTGTTGATTCCTCTAAGATTTTAGAATTGCAAAGACAATTTGAAACCGCAAAAGCAAACATACTGAATGTTGTGGAAGACAATAGAAATGCACAAACCGAATCACATGTGAAACAACTAAGAACTGTTTATGTGATTTGATGGAAATGCAAGTTGAAAACGGGATTAGCAATTGCAACAATTGTTACAGAAATCACGGAATCGTTGACGAGATGGAACAGTGTGTGTTTGATGTGCCAGAAAAAAATCAAATCAAAGCTATCCAAGACAGTCCCTTCTTTAGTGTCATGTTACATGAAACATGTGATGTGAATGTAGAAAAAAAACTTGCTATCTATGTTAGATACGTTGATGTAAAGTTCTAGCGTTAGAAATTGGCACTAGTCCTGTAGTCCTTACCAAACTGCCCAATAGTAAAGGTATCCTAAGGACTAGTAGAAATTGGCTCATGTTAAGGGTTTTGCTATATGTTATCATTATAAGGACTCGTGGACTAAAACTGTTACTTTCTGACTCTGTAAACACTGGCGAAGTTAAGGTTGGCTTTACTGGAAATGACACGTTCAAGATTGTACTGCTGCAGGGATAGAGGAATGTCTGATCGAATTTCTTTACAGAAAACATCTACTCTAGTAAATGAGAACAATGACAATTTCTACAGAGTAATGGGTCTTGGCACAGACATTGCCGCTGCAATGACTGGGCGATTGAATGGGTTAGGGGCGAGGCTGAAAAGAAGAAATCCCAAATTGGTGCAGGTCCATTGTGCAGCTCACAGATTAAACTTAGCAGCATCACAAGCAGCTTGTGATGTCCCCTACCCAAACCACTATCACAAAAACAATGACCATACAGACCAATGATACCATTATTATGTCATTTGAAGATGTAAAAGCAGTGCGAGATCCTAAAGCAGTTGGGTGACATAATTTCATGGCTAGCTCCTTGTTCGTTCTTGTAACAGCTTTACTCTTTTAAATGTCTTGTCCGTAATTGGGATTTTAAGCCTTACATTCCAAAAGGACAAAGTCAATTTGTCTGCGGTTAGACACTGTGTGAATGCAACGATGGAGACATTGGAAGCCATGAAACAGCGATCACATCATGTCAATACTGTACTTCAAGACCTAGGCGCTCCACAACAGGGGCAGAAGACGAATTACAACAAGAGTCATCCGAAGATGACATATCCCCCAGACGTGGCATGTCGGTAAACTGTGTGTACCTTCAAATGTATTTAGATTGGCAAGGAAATCTTTTTCCTTGGTGCCAAAACTAGAAATATAATGAAAGTTATTAAATATTGGTTCATGTAGCTCACTTTCTGATGATGTCATGAAATTGTAATAACAATAACTTCGCAGATTTGCATATGAATAGCTCTATAGTAGCCTCATGACACAAAGGCATAAAGAGACTGTACTAGGTTATGTAGCTCACATCATATATAGTTTATGATATCAGTAAATAGTACACCTTAGAATTATATGTCAGGGGCTACAAATTAAAAAGATTAAAATTTATAAATAACAAACTGCACTACTAGTGAACATGATTGATATTTGCATAAAGTTTGGTGAATCTCTGTCGCATGGTTTAGAAGATATGCTCCAGACGAGGACATTACCCTAAGTTCATCAATTTTCAATTTAAATTGAAAAAAGAAAAAAAGAAGAAAAAATCTGTTAATAGCAAAGGCACCAATACATAACCTGCTTGATAGGCGTAAAAACTTTTGAGCAGCTAAGTTGTATGGTTCGGGAGATATGGTCCGGACAAGAGCACTACCCTCAAATTTCCTAAGTTCATCATATTTCCATGGAAACAACAAAAATATATAATTCTAAAAATCTCTAAATAGTAAAAGGCACTTCTACTGAGCCTGATTGGTTAGTGAACCAAGTTTTGTGAAGCTAGGTTGTAGAAGAAGAAGAAGAAGAAGAAGAAGAATTTTTATTGTACGGAACACCCTCGTAGGGCAGGGTACAAACTAACTACATATGGAATAAATATAACTATCAACATGAGAGGTATATATACATAATGTACATTATATATTAAATATTACATATTATTTCATTCATAGTGTATAAACATTTATATATATATATATATCATGAGGTGGCTGGCAGCGTGTACTTTAATGATGCTGATACTGTACAGATAAGACATAATAATAGTCATAAGGTCATATCTTGATGTTGTCTATAAGAGAGGTTCTTTTAATAAACATGTCGGAGATAGTTTGTGAAACATATTTTGCACTTTCAGGACAGGGGTTCAGGATATTTGCTAGGATTTTATTATCATTTTTGCAGGTTTGGAGGTCTAGTGTTCGAAGAAGTATCTGCCTTTCGTTCTGATAATTTGGACAGTACAAAAGGAAGTGTTTCTCATCTTCTATCTTATTTAGGTTACATAATTTACATATTCTCTGGTCGACAGGCGTGTTAGTGTATCGGCCTCTTTCAATCTCCAGATTATGGCAACTGAGTCTTAATTTGGTTAAAGCTAATCTATGATCTTTACATTTTACAGCTGAAACATACTTCTTAAGTTCAAATTTATCTTTATTAAGTCCTAGATGCCTAAGTTTGTGGGAGTTATCAGTGTTTACTTGGTCACTTTCAATGAGAAATATATTTCTAAATTTTGTTTGAAGAGCTTCATAGAATTTTGAGCAAGGGGCATTTTCACTGTTGGATTTGGGAAGTAGGTGTGCCATCATATATTTGATCGAGGATGTCCAGGATATTTTTTGTGAGGCCAAGAGAATATCCTCCTGGTATGCATCGAATAAGAGCCTGTCACCTTCCAAGCCTCTCAGGCGCTGGTAATATCTAAACATGGACATTTAGGAAATATGCTCCGGACACAGAGCTCCAGATAGGCTTTTGGTGTTGTGGGTATTTTACCCATGCATTTTAAAATCATTGGGTATCAGTAATTCTATCTGGGTATTCAAATTTCTGTTACCCACTTGTTTTTACACATGTGGGTATTTAAGTTAAATATTTAAAAACACTATTCATCTAGTCCCTGCAAACTAGTGTTGTGTGGGTTCGAGAGCTTAAAAGGACTCAAAAATACCACGATACTTCCACAAGAAAGTGTGATTGCAAATGATCATGATGTAACTGTCATCGTGGAGTTTGGCAAGGTTGACGGAATGCCTGTTTATAATTTCAGAACAAGTATTTGTCACAGAGTGACGAAATATCCCCCGCCATATACACCATAGTACCAAATATGAAGACAATCCAGCGATTAGTTCTTGAGATATTGTGGCAACACCGTTTTCCAACTCCAAAAACAGATTTGCCTGCTGTGACCTTGAAAATGGGGTCAAGGTCACCAAATC